GTTTACTCATCATGTACGAGTGGTTTGGAGATTGACGATGTGAATGGTATTGTCAAGAAATTAACGGGGTTTTAGTAAAGAAATGTATCTGATTCCATATGGAATTGAATACTGCGGCGATATACATAAGAACAACAGACTAATCTTATTTTTGTTAAAACAACAAAACTCAGGATGTGTGAACAACATCATTTTGAATCAAATCCGGAAGTGGTAAAAAAGTTGCAAAAAAAAAATGGCTTCTATATTAGGTATGCACCGGTATCGGTATACCGAATACCGAAAATACCGAACTTCGGTCTATACCGATACCGAAAATACGGACTTTTTTAGATTTTTTCATCTGAAATGACATAGTTTTGCTTGCTGGACACCCAGAGAGAATCAGAGATGCAAAACAAGAGCTTTGTTTGCTTTAAGGCCAAGATTTTCCTTTATTTTCTATGCAAGTTGTTCTTACACATGCTCAGAGTACCCAGCTGAATGTTTTTTGTGTTCTGACTGTCCATGACGCTAAACTGTCTCATTTCAGATGAAAAAATCCAAAAGAGTCCAAATCGGAAAAAGTCGGTATTTCCGATATCAGTATTTTCGGTATCGGTATGTCGGTATAGATACTGATACTGGTGCNGTGCATACCTATTCTATATGCACCAAGACGGAGGTATATTCAATTGATCCAATAACAACTATGATTAACAACTATGCTCTATGATGAAGTAAAATAGAAAAAAGTCCGTGAGAAAACAGAAAGGCCGATTTTGAGATGCATATCAATATAAGAATTTTATACAGAATTTTAAACTCCACAAGAGAGTCTCAAAATAGCTAGGTTTTCTACCATCAACCTTTATATTATCCAGTTTAAACCGCCACGTTCACAGTATTCACTACTGATCAATACAAAAAGATTTTTATTTGTAAATTAGATTTTAAAATAAATGATATTAGGATTTAAGAAACCTGACACCGAGAAAAGCGACACTTCGACAAAATATAATATAGGCAAAAAGAGCTCCAATACATCCTCCAATAGGAATATAATTAAATCCGTATTGGTGAATAAAATATTCTCCACTTGTAATACATGTACCATTTACTTTTTCTGCCGCTGTGCAAGTCAAAGTCAGACCAGATTGTTCATTAATACTAGTTCCAACGTACGCATATTTCACCGAACTCAACGCGTCTAACCACGCAAAATATTTTGGCAAATTAGCTGGTGCCAAAAAGTAACCACCAAATAGACGAGTAATTTCGAGTGCAAGAGGTAATACAGCAACGCTTAAATCAGCAGTTCGACATAAAGCTGATACCATTAGAGCTAGCGAAGTTGCTGACAGAATAGACAAAAACATAAAAAACATGAACAAGAAGAACTTTCCCACATGCGGTTGTAATCCAACGAGAAAGTAAACGATACACGAGAAAAAAATTGGTATGGGAATTAGAACTAATGTCTCGACAATAATTTTCGCAATGAAATAGGCAGATGCTTTGTACGAACCTGATGCACGTTCACGAAGTGTCAATGCTCGTTCAACAGGAAACGTATTGATAACGGTTAGCGCTCCGAATATTCCCTGATTAATGACGCAAAAGAAGATAACGGGCTCACGTCGAACGATACTTTTCTGTCCGGTACCAATGTGTATAAATGCCGTACCAATGAGAATGGCCATGATAATTGCTTGAACAATTGATGCAATTAAAATATTTCGTTTTCTATATTGCTCTTTGAATGTTCGTCGTAACAAAACTTGAACTTGTTTTAACCATGGCTGACCAGGCGGAATTGGAACTGCCTGTAAACGTTTATTAACGCCGAGATTCAAATCAATGTGGACCGGTTCTTGTTCTTCTAGTATTTTAGCATCTAATTCCCGTTCTTCGGCAGTTGCTTCACCACTGTTTTTTGGCGGTGTTATAACATCGAGTAAATGATCGGCTGGATTAGTGTAAACTGGACATGGTTTACCGGCTAGTTCATAAACATGCATGACGTTATGAAGAGGGCCTTGATAAAGAATTTTACCATCTTTGAGCAAAAGTAACGAATCAAATAAGTCGAATATTTTTGCTTGCGGCTGATGGACTGAGGCAACGATCGTGACTGATTGTGTATGAGCCAGTGAATGAAATGTTTTTATCAGTTCGAGTGCGATGACAGAGTCGAGACCAGTCGTCTAAAATAAATCAGGTTTAGAAGAACAGATGATCAGTGGTAGTCAAACTGTATAGTCGACTGTTTTCTTCATATATTCTGGTTCACTCTACCTAGAACAGCGTTCTCGGCGTACAGTAGCTTTTGACAAAATCGGAAAAAAATAAAAGCTTCGATGATGAGTTCTTCGCGTTCTGACGGTTCATAAACAATTTTACGTTGAACAGGCTTCATCCGTCTAGTTTGTAGAGCTCATAGAATTGACTAGTGAGTACTTCCGCACAGGTCTGCTCAGTATTACAGACCCTAGTCAGATGATAGGATTTTGACGGGATTTCTGGAAAACCGTCACAAGAAACACCATCTGGCCAAAGTCAATACCATGCGCCTTTTGTAGCACTAGTCGAGTAGTGTGTAGACTAACAAGATCTCGAAGAACCAACGGGTAGTTTTCGAGGGAGGAGACCGGGAAGGGCCAAAGTAGGTCTCACGGGTACGCTTACCATAAAGAAGTAAAAAGTGCTAGAGACTTCATTGTTGCGTCATATGAACAAACTTGGAAGCCGTTTTCATTTGAATATA